TGGCTCGTGATTCTGTGCCAAGCCGAGACATTGGCATTTGGCACTCAGCTCCTGGCCCCTGGCTGTCGGCTGGGCTGGTGCGGGACCTCGGCCGCTGGGGCCTCCGGCTCTGCTGCCACCTCGAGGCCGGCTCCCTGGGCGGCCCCCAGGAGTCTGGGGGGCCAGCTGGACGGGTCCTCGGGCCTTTCTCSTGTCATAGGTGCCCACCTCCCACTGGCCCAAGCCACTGAGGAAGGAGCCAGAGGACCAAGGGTCCGGGACATTGTGTGGCAAGGACCCTTCCAGAAGCCCAGCCATCAGTACTTTGTCCCTTTGTCACTCCGACAGGTGGAAGCAGAGTTAGGGCAGCCATGGCCGGCCGTGGCCATCCCTGGCCGTCCGCGTCCTCGTTTGGTGCCATCGAGGGGCAGCTGGCCCCTGCCCCAGCACCACCTCAGCGGCCACAGACCCAGCAGCGCCCTCGGCCTACGGCRTGCGCCGCCCACGGTGGCCGGACCTGCGGGGCCTCATGGGGCCAGGGGGAGGACGCGGTGGCCCGCGTGACTCGGTGACAGGGCACGTGGCCTGAGGACCTCCGGCCGCAGTGCTGCGCAGGCCTCAGCCTGTCCCTGACGGAGGGACAGACGGCGACGGCAGAAGATGAAGAYGGTCACGGTTCAGATGCGGCCAGCTGTCACCAGAGAGGACCTTCTCCTGGCCCCCAATGAAAGCGTCCTGCGAGGAGCGGGGACTGCCYGCGCCTGGGGACGAGGCAGCAGTGACGCCCGTGAGGGCCCTGTCCTAGGCAGCTGTGGTCCCCTCCCAGAGGGGTCGGGGAACGGGCGTCCCTGTGTCTTCTCAGGYGAGGACAGGGAGCCAGCGCAACCCATCAGTGGCCCTGTCCCGGTGAGACCAGGGCGGGAGCGTCTCCGTCCCCCTCCCAGTGAGGACAGGACAGCTCCATGCCCCTTCCTTTCTGGGAATGGACGGAGGCGGCCCCAAGGGAAGGCTCCAGAAGGGTGGAGCAGCAGGGTGCCCCTGACCCCAGGCAAGGACAGACTTGGACATCTGGCAAGTGGCATTTCCGGTGACTCTTACAGAGTGATCAGAGGTGTATGGATCCAGCTTGGCRCAGCGCAGCCCTGTCATCCAGGAGCTCRGAGGCTCAGGCAGGAGGACRGCAGTTCAGAGCCAGCCTCAGSGAGAGGCCCAGCACCTCMGTGAGGCCCTGTCTCTAAATAAGATACAAGACAGGGCTGGGGTGTGGCTCAGGGGTCGAGCCCCGAGTTGGATCCCTGTTCAAAATATATACCAGCCCTGTGCTTAGGATCTCGTCTACACACACACACACACACACACACTCGTAGTCACGGAACGGGGAGGGGCGAGGAGGGTGCAGAACCGGGCCCCGTGGGCCCCTGCATCAGCTCACACCACACCCCCATCAGCCTCGGTTTTGTTCACTGGGACGGGGACGGGGCTGGGGCGGGCGGCATGGGTCACGCTCCAGGCCTTTTTCTGGTTCGTTTTGACAGAGGGTCTCACAGTGACCTGCCGTCCTCCTGGTCACCTTCCTTGACAGGAAAACCCTGTGGGGTGGCCAGGGCACTGTGTCCCCCTSCAACAGAGGGCCCCACCAGAAGGAATGTGTCCACAGGGGACGGCGTGACACCAAGTCCCAATTCCCCTCTGGAAGGTCCCCAGAGTGCCACGTGGGAGGTGAGGTCCGCGTTCAGTCAGGCTCAGAGGCGGGCTGTGGGGAGCGCTGGATGACGAGGACACCAGCCTCGCCAGTGGGTGGAGCCTGTGGGGAGACGGTGGCGACTGGGAGACAGGGCCTAGTGGGAGGAGGGAGGTCACTGGGACCTGCCCTAGAAGGACATATCTTGTGCCTGGCCCCTTCTCTGCTTCCCCGCCTAAGGTGAGCGGCTCTGCTTCACCAAAGCCTCCCGCCATGATGTGCATCACTGCAGGCCCCAAACAGCGGAGCTGGCCGACCTCAGACTGCAACCTCTGAAAATGAGCCCCAGTGAATCTTTACTCCTCAACTGGGTTTTCCTCAGTTAGTTTGTCAYAGCCATGAGAAGCTAGCAGACACCAACTCACCAGTTATCAAAGCAGATGTTCCAGAAAGAGTGGAGCTGAAATAAATGCATCCCTATGATGGCGATCCTGCAGATCAGGGCACCTTTAACAGGTCTCCCCTGGTTCCCAGCCTGGATGGCCACTCCCAGCATCTCGAGGACAGAAGAGGCCCAGAACACCCAGTATCCATTTTTGAAGATCAAAACAGATGACAAACATTCACAGTAAGCTATCACATATTAATACATGCAAAGGGATGTCACCTAACACGTGACACTCTGAGGCTTTGTATATTTATTTATGTTGCATTAACACCTAGTAATTGGACGATGTGTAAAGTGCAGCAGGAGATTTCAGTGCACACGTAGAGTCTGTGACGGTCAGGTGGGGGTGATGGGCCTATTTCTTTGTGTTAGGAACATTCAAAATCGCCCCTACTCTGCTGGAGACCGTGGAAGCCACTCCTCAGGTCCAGCTGGGCTCGGACCAAGCACATTCCGTGTGTGAAGTAGGACTTCAGATCACCTGGCCCTGGTAGGTGCAGTCSTGCCCTCGGGCAGCCCCGGCAGGGCCTGGGCTGCACTGTGGCTGTTGGTGCCAGGGCAGAGCCTGGGGCCTCCTTTGGCAAAGGGGAGGGCGCGAGGGGCGGTGAGGGGGCACGGGGGCAGGGAAGACGGGGACTGACACACCACCACAGAGGCTCCTGGGGACCACAGCCGGGCAGAGAGGAACGAAAAGCTGCCTCCGTTTGTGTCCCGTGAGCTGAAGTGCATCCTGCTGTCAAGGGAGACTAACCAGAACAAATTCTAAAACGTTAAAAAAGAACAAAGACAAAGAAAGAGGCTGCTCAGAAAAATGCCCAGAGCCTGGGCGAAGCTCTAGGGGSACATGCCCGGCTGTGCCAGGGCTGTGAGCGCCGGGCTGGGGGCCCCAGGGTTCTCTGCCTCCAGACCCAGGCCGAGAAGCCCCCCAGCTCCTCCTCACCCCGGAGCTCCCGCTGGCAGGACGTGCGTTGGTCACTGACAAGCTGTGTCCCTCCACCCGCTGCCTGGTCAGGACCCTGCCTCTCCCTGGGGCTGCTCTGAAAGTCCCATCAGGAAGCGGCACCTTCCGGAGTCTTTCTCAGGTGCCTGTTTAACCCAGGACACTTCTCTTGCTTTTCAGTAGTGACTGGTGTTGTCTTGTTTCTGCCATCATCTGGTGCCAACGTGTCAAAGAGGGGACGGGCACAGTGGCCCAGGCTGCGGTCCCAGCTCCTGGGAGAYGAGCGGGAGGACTGCAAGGGAGCACAGCCTGCAACACTGAGACCGTCCCAGAAGAGATGGAAAGCACTGAGCGCTTGCCCAGCGTGCGTGACGTTGCCAAGGTCTCGGCTTGGCACAGAATCACGAGCCACCACACCCCTAGTAGGTTCAAACAGCAATCCTTTATTCCCCAACTCACACCGCCTCCACACAAGTTCAGGGGCAATCTAAAATCTCTCCGCTCAATTCACCTACTCCTCGAGGCTTTTTCCAAATCCCATTTGAATCTCACAGGACTCAACAGGAACAAGCAGCAGGAACACCCTAATCCCAGCAGCAATAATCTTCAACCTCCAACTTCCCTAAAACCCCTATTGTCTTAAACCGGGAACACCTTAAACTCAAGGAGCGGGAAACTTCGTCAAACCTGATCAGCTCTAAACCCGGATCCACCCTGGTCTTTGAGCAAGGTCACCTTACTAAAGCCTACATGCAATGTCCCATGGAATGTCCTCTAAGCAGCATGGGGTACGCTGGCAAGGAGATTTCGATGCRTCATTCCTACTTGGCAATGGCCCTCAGCATGACGTCTGCACCCAGCCCCGGTACTGCCACTCAGGAAAGGGGACCGGGTGGGAATCCAGGCTGCTAGGGCCACGGTCAGCGGTCAGTGGAGCTTGGGCTTTCCCTCCGGTTTACGCCGTGGCCAGGCGGTAGATGATCGGGCCAGGGGCATGGTATGCAGTGTCTCCCAGAGGGTGCAACGAGGTTCTTCGCACACTCACGGGACATGGCGGGTGCAGGCCTGGGAGCAGGTGCCGAGTGCTGCACTACAGCCTGCCAAGGGCCTCTGCACACACACACGCAGGGTCTGCAGGCACCTTCCCAAGGAAACCAGTGTGAACCACCGTGACCCCAGAGAAAGGCCATCAAGTCTTCCGCCTCGGCTCTGACTTTGCAGGTCACAGAGAGCTGTGACGGGCTCTGAAGCCACAGGCACTAATGACAACCACTACCTGCTGGGAATGTGCYGCAGTCTGGCTGGGCACAAATCACGGAACCACCACAAAGCACTTGTATGTTCAAACAGGAAACTTTATTGCTGAACTCCACCAGCACTCCACGCACACTCCCCGGGGACTCTCCCCAAYGCCACCCACGCGGCTCCTCTGGGCACACCACACCAACCGGAACTCCCTCCACCGGAACTTCACCCACCAATGCTAAGTCCCCAGGAAATCCCACCAGAACTCCAAAGTAGCGGGCGCCCAGGTGGACAGCAGGGGCCTATATACAGCTGAATCAATCCAGCATCATCTTAATGGCTCCCCTCTCGACCATTACTTCTGGCAAAATGCCAGGGGCCMTTCCGACTGGCTGTGGCTCTCAACAGGAATGAAGTGACAGATCCGCTAGACAAGCTGCCTCAGCAGCCCTATAGGGACACGGGCTCTCAGCTCCACATAATCGTCAGGACGCAGGTGCTCACCATGGAAACCAGGTGACAGGAGAGCTGAGGGCAAGGGCTCTCAGGGAGGGGTCGGGAACCACAGAGCTGCGGCCCACGCAGGAACCTGGGAGCGCGGAGCCAGGAGGGCCCGTGACGGGAGGTGTGTGGACAGTCTGCAGCGCGKGCCCAGAGGGGTGCCGGGCTTGCTGTGGGGCCATTCTAGATGGGCAGAGAGGATCAGAACAACGTGCTTGACCTAGGACCACAGGTCACCGTGGTCAASGGGTGGCAATTTATAGACCCTGTCTCCCAATAAAACTGCCGAAAGGGCCGGGGCCGGGGCTCAGCGGAGGCGCGCTCGCCTACATACGTGAGGCACTGGGATCGRTCCTCGGCACCACGTAAAGGTAAAATACTGTGCCCACCTAAAACTAAATATTTAAAAAAAAAAAAAAAAGCTACCGAGAATACTGGTTATCCACTCCCACATCCCAAAACTCACACGCTGTCCCCGTGAACTCAGGACGTTCACTTTCCAGCCTTATTCATGCTGATGACCATTCAGTGGGACCACTGATACACGGACTTCACCTTTAGGCCAGAGGGTCTCTTCTCAACGCAATGCAGTGTGTCCAATATCCAGTCAAGATCAAAACATGATCACAAATCAGTTGGGAAGAGACTCTTTGAAGAACCTTCCAGAATTACTAATTCCTGTGCATTACATGAGTCCACTAGCAACAAAGGAAGACGCCTCTTTCCATAATGAAGAATGAAGAGAAAGGTGGACAGTGTGTGTGTGTGTCCAGTACCTGCACCTGTGGACTAGAAAAGCAAGTTCAACCACAACAGTCACATTCTGACCTCAAGCTGGAAACAAAAGTAGGAATCAAAAGCTTCTCGTGTAGGGCTGTGAGGCACGGGGTTCAAGTCTCGGCACTGCATACGAATAAATCAGTAAGTTTTCATCAAGTCATAGACAGAGAAAACTGCTAATGTAAAATCACATCAAACTGTACACGGTAGCACCCATAGGTCCAAGATCATAACGTGCACTAGACAAGTCTACGAGGACGCCCGATTATTGGAAGTCTTAGATAACAAAATACACTTAGTACCAGTGATGGCGCCCAACAGGATGTTCACTGCCCATGTCAACACCACCAAGAAGAGACCGAACACCAGGGTCCCTGCTAAGTGAGGCACTTGAAAGGTGAAGGCTGGTAACAGTGGAGACTCCCTCCCAGGCTTCCCCTTCTGAACATCATGGGGTCTTCCCTGGTGTGTTCTTCCTACCCCAAGGGCTTTGGGGCGAGGGCGCCAGGTCCCACGCCTGTCCCAGGCCGCTGTGTTCTCAGAGCTCCTCTGCAGCGTGTGACCTCCCGTGGGCCTGCAGGGACGCCAGGTACCTGAAGGCCTTCCCACACTGCTTGCACTCGTAGGGCCTCTCCCCGGTGTGCGACCTCATGTGCACGCGCAGGGAAGAGGAGCAGCGGTAGGCCTTCCCGCACTGGGAGCACTCGTGGGGCTTCCCGCCGCCGTGTGACCGCAGGTGCTTCTGGAAATACTGCGGGTGGCTGAAGGCCTTCCCGCACTGCCGGCAGCGGTGGGGCTTCTCCCCACTGTGGGTTCTCACGTGCTCTCGGAGGGAGGAGGCGCAGCCAAAGGCTTTGCCACACTGCTGACAGCCGAAGGGCCTCTCCCCGGTGTGCGTCCTGGCRTGGATGCGCAGGGAGGAGGAGAAGCGGTAGGCCCGGCCACACTGCGCACACTGGTAGGGCCGCGCCCCGCCGTGGGTCCTGGCGTGTCTCCTGAAGTAGGTGGCGCAGCTGAAGGCCTTCCCACACTGCTGGCACGCGTGGGGCTTCCCGGCCGCGTGCGTCCTCAGGTGCGCTCTCAGGGACGCGGGGTACCTGAAGGCTTTCCCGCACTCCTTACAGTCATAGGGCTTCTCCCCGCTGTGTGACCTCCCGTGTTCCCGGAGAGAGGAGTAGCACGCGAACGCCTTCCCACAGCGGGTGCACTCGTAGGGCTTCTCCCCAGTGTGCGTCCGCGTGTGGTCCCGAAAGGAGGAGTAGCAGCCGAAGGCCTTCCCACAGTGCGCGCAGCGGTAGGGCTGCTCCCCGCTGTGCGTCCGCACGTGGTCGCGGAAGTAGGAGGCGCAGCTGAAGGCCTTCCCGCACTGGGCGCACGCGTAGGGTTTCTCCCCGGTGTGCGTCCTGGCGTGCCGGGCGAGGTAGGAGCGGAACTGGAAGGCCTTCCCGCACACGGCACACGCGTGCCTCTTCTCCCCTCGGTGACYGCGCACGTGAGCCTGTAAGGACGAGGGGCAGGAGAGAACTTTCCCGCATTTCCTACATTTCAGAGACTTTGTGCTACTAGGCCTTCGCACGTGTTCACTCGGTGCTCCCCCGGTGTCCCCTCGTTCCTGGGGTCTCTCTGCAGTGTCAGTTTTCGCAGGGGGACCCGGGCTGCCGCCGGCTTGCTCACGTTCCTCACGAGGACGAGGCTTGTGTCCAGTGGGCGGTGCTTGCTGGTTCCTGGAGGCCCTGGCACGCGTGGTTCGTTCCCGGGGCTGACCTCCACTGGGGACACGCCTGCGCACAGCRTGGCCCACGGCGTCCCCAAGCCGACCCTCCGTCTGCCCGGAGAGGCCGTCCACCACGCCGCCTCTGTTCAAAACAGGAAGCACACTGTTAAACCGCCTGCAGGTCCGTGCAGGTGTGCACCATGGCTCTGGCTACTCCGCCACCTTCCYGCTTATTGTCAGCACTGCTGCCTCGGGGTCCTGGGCCCTGGGCTTCACKGGCGGCCAGAGGCCCTGGGCAGCCTTCACCTTGGCAGCGTCCTGCCTGGGGACCGCCTGCTGGCGGGCCAAGTTGTTCCACATTCTCCATGTCGACATCACATTGATAAAAGTGCACCCAGTGTCCAGCAAGGACGACACGTTTCATTTCCTCCCGAGTCAGCCTAACATGCAGAGAGGATGCTCACACGCCCGAGTGCACTCACCTCCCACGCGGGTCCTGCACCTGGTCATTGCCAGGGTCATCGAGCCTCCAGCTTTCTCCAAAAGCAGACCAGAAATCCCTTCTTGTAAAATCGTCGCTGGATATTCCATTTCTCAAAATATACTGCTGAAAACGTGACCCGCTGGCTGTAGTGTGAAAGCAACAACCTGGGATAATCAGTGACACAATTATTTCTTGGGAAAGGAACGGTGAGATAACAGACCCCAGGTACATTTCTGTATTCTGACCCAGAAATGTAGAGTCTGGGGTTGGTCAGTGGGGGGRAGGGATACCCCGCTTTGTTAATATCTATTTTTGATTTAGGGGGACACAGTGCCTTCATTCTACGTTTCCATGGTGCTGAGTTGAGCCCAGTGCCCCATGCATGCTGCGGAGCACTTTGCCCAGCCCGGGAAACCCCATTCTGTAAGGTGGACCTGGGAGTCAGGAAGCCTGGGAGGACCTTGGTACTGGGCTTTGTCAGCGCAAAGGAAGAGGATCAATGCAGCCTGCTCCCTGTGAGAAGCTCCACGTGGAGGAGGCATATGTTGACAGCACCAAGGGAGGCCTTAGGCAGGATGCACAGCCCAGTCCTGCCACTTCCAGGGGCGGTGAGAGGAGGGACGGGAGGGACAGGAGGAGCAGGGACCAAGGGCACGGGCGGACTTGGTCCCTACACCTCATGCAAAACTGCTCCTCAAGGTTCCTGCTCTCCTGTGTCCATACGCAGGGACCCTGGAGGGATCGCGTCTTGGTCCCCAGCTGCCACTGGGAGCTCAGGCGGGTGTGAGGGCTGCCACCATGTAGAGAGCACATGACAAGAGCAGCAGGGAAGGGCACCACCTGGCCTGCGCTAGACGGCTCCGCTCCAGGCTGCTGTGGCAGGAGTGTGGGGCTCACTTCAGCAAAGCGGCCACATCACACGTGGCTGACCACAGTGGAACCCACAGGAGTGACCACAGAGCTGCTTCCTACGCTCCAGAGTGACACTGGAGACTGTGCCTACTTACAGAACTCAGGGACCTCAGGACTGTGGCCAGGCGGGTGAGGCGGTCCTCAGGAAGCGGAGGCAGCAGGATCCAAGTTCAAGGCAATTTATCAAAACTGTGTCTCAGAATTTTAAAAGGGCTGGGATGTGGCTCATTGGCACATGACCCCTCACTTCAATCCCCCACAGCAAAAAAAAAAAAAAAAAAAAAAAACTTCTAAGAAAAACGGCAATAAGATCTAAAATCTTGTTTCATGGAGAAGACTTTTTTGTTGGGGGGCGGGGTACCAGGGACTGAACTCAGGGGCACTTGACCACTGAGCCACGTCCCCAGCCCTATTTTTTTGTATTTTATTTAAACAACTCTGAGTTTTAGTGCCTCACTCTGCTGAGGCTGGCTTTGAACTCAGGATCCTCCTGTCTCGGCTCCCCAGCCGCCAGGAGAGGACTTTTGTCTCTCTTGAAGCATGCTCCAGTCTCTTAGCCCAAAGGAAAAAAGACAGACATATTCTCCCCTCGAGGCTCAGGGAAGGAGAGCCGCCACCCCACCTGCGGAGGCCAGGTGCCTGCAGGTCTCCAGCATCACGTCCCTGTAGAGGTCCCTCTGAGCACCGTCCAGCAGGGCCCACTCCTCGGGGGAGAAGTCCACGACCACGTCCTCAAAGGCCACTGGGTCCTAGAACGTCACACATTCCGTTTCAGAAAGGCTCGGTCCCCGTCATGCAGGGAAGGCAGAGGCGGGCAGTTGGGGACACTGGAATCGACTCAGGAATCCTGAGCCCTTGGCCCTCACACTGCTGTGCGCAGTGACAACGGGCTGCAAGTGGAATGCCAGGCATCCTGGCGGGGTGCTGTGGGGACAGGGGCAGGGGCAGCTGGGGGTGCCCTCAGTGACTGAGACGGCAGTCAGGACAGGGAGATGGAAGACATGTCACCAGTTAGGGATGTGGAGACCATATGTGGCTCGCTCAAATCTCACAGCAGCCAGACCYCAAAACACCAAGTGCCACATCATCTACCAAAAAACAAGGGTGCCCATGTGCACCGTTCCACATTGTGTGGGTCAGGACCCACTGACCCCAGCTGAGGGACCCTGACTGTGAGGGGTGTGGTCAGTGGCAAAACAAAAAGAATGGGGGGAGGGATACCCCATTTTTTTAATATTTATTTTTTTATTTAAGTGGACACAGTGCCTTTATTCCACATTTTCATGGGCCAGGGTCTACGCTACGGATGGGAAGCAAGCAGAGAGGGTCCGCTGGGTGCTCAGGACCCCCACTCCTTCCCTCCAGGTTGTGACTTAGAAATACTCAGAAGCCTACCACCCGCTGAACACGACTTCTCCCTTAGTGAGGCCGTCGTGGGTCTACTCAGTTTGCACAGATGATGCTCTGACTGCTCCAAACCCAACCACAGGAAACAGCTCCAGGCCACCTCAGTAGCTTTCCTGAGCAGATGGCTCCTTCTGCCATGGTACCAGGGCTGGAGGCCCCAGCAAGGGAGGCTTGTGAGCCATCCCAGGTGCACCTCCACCACCCGGGCAGGCTCCACTGGGGCTCAGCTGAGACACTGTCCTCAGACCCCAGTCCCCACCCAGGTGAGGCACCTGCTTCACACTAAGCCCTTGGTGTGTGTCTGAATCAGAATGCAGCAGAGTCACCCATCCATCCTGTGTTCAAGGATGGGGAGGGCAGGTTCTAAGACATGTACCATCCCTCCAAGATCCCTTAAAGAAAACAGCACCAATCACCCTTATCCTCAACACTCATCCTCACTACTTACCCTCATGATAAACCGTGAATTTAAACTGTGAATCAGACCGACACTTCTGTTTTCTGGGTTGTGTTTTGCAGAAGGGGCATTATACCTGATGCCCAGACACTAAGGAGAAGTGGGACAGGGTCCTGCATGGCAGGGTCACTACAATTTTTACATTCCTTTCCACCCAAGTCTTCACCTTCCTCTCCTGAGTTGTGGGGTGGTCTGTGTCTTCCTACAGTTTTAATGGAAAGGTAATGAATGTTTCCATATTTTGAGACATTTTTCCCCAAAAGGACACTCAGGCAAAACCCTGGAATACAATCTAACAGCAATCAAAAAAACTCCCCACCTTCATTAAGACAAGGGAAAGACAAAAGAAGCTGCTATTTTACAAGGAATGGAAGCTGAGCTGGATCAGGAAGCACTGGTGCTGAGCTGTGACAGGTGCCGCTAGCCACAGCTGGCAGTGACCTTGAGACGGGGTGAGTGTGTGCTCCCGGAGACAGCACCCTGTGTTTTGGAGATGGGTTCTGGAAGCACATGAGCCATGAAGGGTTGTGCCTTGTGGGCCCAGGAGATCAGACCCAGACCCTCCAAATTCCCACCCTCTCTCACATACTGGATAGCTGGTCCCCGCTGACCAACTGGAACAAAACGTCTGACAGGCAAGCCTTGGCTTTCTTCCAGGGCCTGCATGAGGGCGCCCTGAGCCTGCAGACAGCCCTCCTGAGAACCAGCTGGCATCAGGCGGGTGGACCAGCACGCCGAGGACTGCCTTCATCAATCTTCCCACGACTGCTCTTTCTAGCCTTGTTTAGGCCTCCCCGAAGGAAAACTTCTGACCCAGGTCTTCAGATGCTGTGGACCTCKCGAGAGAAACTCTCTCCTGTTCCAGTGCGCCCTCTGCCCCTACTGCCTCTTGCAGGAGACCCCTCCCCATGTGGCCACAGTCCCTTGTCCCCTACGTCCAGTCCCCCCATAATCCTTTTCGATACAAGTCTGTGCGGGCTAAGTTTGGATGTTTTATTTCACACGGGCTTCGACCAGTGTTCCAATCCCCCCTTACCAATCGTCACTCGGGGAACGTGGGGTGGCGCCCAAGTCTGAGCCAGCACAAAACTGTAACCTGACCGCCTGTCCCCGCCGGCCTCCCCCTCACGGCTCCCGTTCCCTCTCCTTCCCTGCTGGATTCCGAGACAGCGGCAGGGCAGGTCACCCCGGGTCCGATCCGCTCCCTAAAGCCCCAGGCTGACCCCTCAAGCTCCTCGGCTGTCCCTCCCCAAACTGACCCGGGGCCCCTGCCCGCCCCGCCACCCCCGAACTAGCCACCAGCTCCTCCCGCCCCGACCGTCTTCAGACACGGGCGCTGGGACACTGTCGCCCACGGCCCAGGCGCCAGTGCTCCGCGCCGCCCTCCGGGTGTGGCCTCGCGGAGCCGTGGACTCCGGGGGCAGGGATTCGCCAGGCCGCCCCTGGGCTCGGGCGCCGCCCGCTCTCACCATCCTCCGCCCTCCCGGGCCCGCGCTCGCTCCCAGTGGCTGGCGGACCGCGCGGGCACCTTCACCTGGGACGGCTCAGCCGCGAAGCCCCGCCCCGGCCTCTGATTGGTTCCTGCTGCCCACGCCAGAGCTCTCAATTGGACGGTTCCCCCCCGGAGCTCTTGATTGGCCAGAACGCAGGGCGCGCTCCCAAACTCGCGATTGTTCCTGGGCTCCGCCCCCGTCTGCTCTGATTGGACAGTTCTCCGGGTTCCGCCGACCGCCGCTCGAAGGGCGGGCGCGCGGGAGTTCGCCTGGGCCCCGCTTCCTGTCCCCGCGTCTGTGTCTGGGTTTGCGCACGGCTCTGCTCTGCGTCCTCCTGGACTGGGCACCAGGTGTGCACGGGACTGCAGACTCAGTTTCCTCCGGGGGACGCCCAACCCGGACAGGACGGGATGGCACAGGGGACCTGGGTGCCCGCAGGGTCAGAGTCAGACAATGACATCACCACGTGGGCTGAAGTCGGCTCCGAGTGCACGTGGGGCGGGGGCACTGGACCCTCCGCACGACTCCCCGGCTCACGTAGCTGGTGCTGGACACCAGGACGGGGACCTCAGGAGCCCTGCTGCACCCGGGAGCGGCCGCAAACCTCAGCCGCCAACAGGCAGCAACTCAGATCAGCCCAGCAAAGAGCTGAGGGCTGCACCCCAGGTTCCAGACCCTTGAAGAACCTTTTAGATTTGCTTCTGAGGGTGTTCCTAGAGGATCTGAGAATGTGAAGGCTGCATTATCCCTGGGAGAGTAGTTGGTTTGGTTTTGCTTTTCCATTTTGCAGTTCCTTTAGGTAAAACCTAGTTTCTTGCCTGACAACAAAAAGCAGCCAGTTATTACGGACCTCCACCTGAAGAAATCCCATCTCTCTCCTTTTTTTTTTTTTTTTTTTATTTCTTAGTTGTAGGTGGACACAATACCATTATTTTACTCACTTATTCATTTTTTTAAAATTTTTACACAATACCCTTATTTTGTTTGTTTTTATGTGGTGCTGAGGATCAAACCCAGGGCCTCGCCATGCTACGCAAGTGCTCTACCACTGAGCTACAGCCCCAAATTCCATCTCTTCCTGATACCCAAGTTTGCTTCCATATTTTTGCAGTATTTGGTGGACCCAGAGGCATTGGCTAATCTGGTGATTAACCTCCCTTAGAATCCTGGGAACCTGCACAAAAGCGGAAGCCCTGATACCAGGGATACCCTACAAGGCTTGTCTCAAAGCTTCTGATACATACACCTGTCTGTCAGTTCAAACTCGGGAACTTGTGAGCAAACCTCCTCTGGGCTTGAGAACTGCAGTTCGGAGTAACATAGCTCGAGGACTCAGGGTGACTGCTCAAGGGAAGGAGAGGACCAAGGAAATTCCCCACGTTGCCTGAAAAGAGAGTGCAGAGATGCTATCCTCATGCTAAATCTAGTGGCACTAGGCTGTGTGGAGGTGACTGGTCATTAGTGGCAACTGCCTAGCTGCAGTCCCCAGTGAGAGATGTTAACAGCTTCTCAGACCCTGACCTGGTTCAAAAGTCAGTTTCCTGTTAATTTTCATGCCCAGTTGAAGAGTTCACTTTCCCAACCAGCTGAATCTGTCATCCCAGCCACTTGGGAGGCTGAAGCAGGAGGATCCCAAGTTTGAGGCCAGCCTCAGCAACTTAGCAAGACCCTGTCTCAAAAACTAAAAAGGTCTGGGGATGTGGCCCAGTTGTTAAGTACCTCTGTGATCCAACCTTGGTGCAAAATAAAATAAAAAAGAGAGTGCCCCTGAGTTCAGTCCCCAGTGCCACTGAAAGGAAAGGGTCCACTTTCCTAGGTAACCCTTTAGTGCATGCACAGACCTTGGTCCCCCATGGCCTCCCAACTCCATTTTGAAATGCTCCTTAGAAGTTGCTTTTTCCAAACTTTCTTCTGGATTCCACACGCTGGGATTGTCTGTTCTGTCAGGGAGCCTTACTGAAGGGCTATGTTGCTTGACTACCTAACCCAACCTTTTGGTAGACACCCTCTTGCCACTGACTGTGAGCCCCTTTGAATTCTTTTTAACTGATTTTTTAAAAAGTAGTAAAATCCTGGGGCGGGGTTGTAGCTCAGTGGTACAGCACTTGCCTATCATGTGTGAGGCACTGGGTTCAAATCCCAGCATCACACGTAAATAAATAAATAAAGGCCTATTGACAACTAAAAAAAATTTTCGTTTAAAAAAGTAGTAAAATTCTAAATGAGTTTGGTTTGAACCTGAAAATCTTAAGGAGATCCAGATATAACCAGGCAGGAGGACTTCAAGGGCACTCAGGAACTCTGCAGCTGACCCCAGCCAGCCTGTTCCTCTGGACTTGCCAGGGGGGGAGATGAGAACCACCCGAAAGCAGATCCGGATTCCCTGGACTCACRCTGTGCAGCTGCTCAGGGCCTCCCAGGCCTGTGGCCACAGGGTCTGCCTGTGCTGCAGTTAGGTCTGGCACGCCCCCCAAAAACCTATGTCTTAAAGGTGGGTCCCTACTCCGTGCCATTGAGAGGTGGAGGGCCCCATGGGAGGGCTTGGACCACTGGGGCCTGTCCTTGAAGGGGAGGTGGGACCCTAGTCTCCTCTATTACCTCCTGGTCATGAGACAATGACTATGTCAGCCAGCCACGCACACCACCATGATGTGCCAACCACGGGCCAAGAACAAGGGAACCCACTGGCCGTGACCCAGACCTCTGAACCCTGAGCCCAAACAGGCCTTCCCTCKTTATAATTTGGTTATAGAGAGAAAAGATTTAGCCAGATGCAGTGGTGCATGCCTGTAAACCCAGTGAATTGGGAGGCTGAGGCAAGAGGATTGCAAGATAGAGGCCAGCAATTTAGCAAGACCCTGTCTCAAAAGTAAAAAGGGCTGGGGATGTGGCTCAGGGGTTAAGGGCCCCTGGGKTCAAYCCCTGGTTCCAACAAAAAGAAGGAGCTGCTTGACCTCTGCCAGGAAACCGGCTTCCCTTTTCTCCCACCCAGMGACCCCATGAGGGACCTTGGCCTCGCCCCAGCCT